TAAGGTACCATAATATTGCAATGTCACCGAAGATCCGTAGTATACCAAATTTAAGAACAATCGAACGCGACGAAATGGGATCGTAATATGGTACTATATTAAGGTACCACTTTATATACATCATAGTTCAATCATATTACAATGTAACCGAAGATACGTAGTATACCAAGTTTGAGCCCAATCGAACGCCAGGAAATGGTATCGTAATATGGTACTATATTAAGGTACCACTTTATATGCATCATATTACCATCATATTACAATGTCACCGAAAATATGTAGTATCCCAAGTTTAAGCCCAATCGAACGCCATGTACGTAATATAGTACTATATTATGGTACCAGTTGATATGCTTCATAATGGTACCTAATAATGCAATGTCATCAAAAAATACGCAAGTATATATCAAATATGAGCTCAATCGAACGCCAGGAAATGGTATTGAAATATGGTACTATATTAAGGTACCACTTTATATGCATCATAAAAGTACCATCATATTACAATGTAACCGAAGATACGTAGTATAACAAATTTAAGTCCAATCGAACGCCAGGGAAATGGTATCGTAATATGGTACTATATTATGGTACCTCTTATTATGCTCCATGGTACCAGAATATTACAATATCACCGAAGATACGTAGTATCCCAAATTTAAGCCCAATCGAAGGCCATGTACATAATATGGTACTATATTATGGTACCAGATGATATGCATCATAGTACCATCATATTACTATATCACCGAAAATACGTAGTATACCAAGTTTAAGCCCTATTGCCGCCATGTACCTAATATTGCTATGTCATCAAATATGGTACTATAGAAGGTACCACTTTATATGCTCCATGGTACCATGATATTACAATGCCACTGAAGATATAGTATACCAAGTTTAAGCCCAATCGAACGCCATGTATCGTAATATAGTACTATATTATATATATCACTTGATATGCTTCTGAAAAAAACGGCGTCCAGTTGGCTGGAAAAGGACGATCGATGACATTTCCCATATAAATTTACATATAAAATGACAGTGATATTCATTTCATAGCTATCGCTAACGCCGTTTTTTTTTCCCGATTATACAATATGAACTTGTTATGAACACAATCGAACGTCAGGAAGTGGTATCATAATAGTAGAACAATACTTATTATATTGTCGCCGAATTACAATGAAAATTCAGGATTCAATTATACAATCAAACGTCAGGAAGTGATTGTAATTTAGCTCATAAGATTTAATTCCAACTAACATGGCAAACTGAAAAAAACAGCTCTGATCTATTTTAATATGTTTAAATGATGTAGCAAATTTGAAGGTAGGCTTTATCAGGAAGTATTACGATATGAATTACACAATGGCAACACTGCACAAAATTCTTTTAAATTTTGTTTGTAGAAAACTGTTTTCTTATAAATTTATTGCCCTCTATTATGTAGTAGCGAAACTACCACATCAAAATATCTGATTTGGAGACAGATTTTTAAAGCCTGTCTCCTTTTGCTACCTACAATTTTATACATGTAACGAGGCTTCTGTTGCGTAGCTAGATATTCTGTGCTAGCAGGTCTAACCTAAATCAAAGCATAAATATTTTTTTTTGTTATTGTTGTTCGCACGTTGTTTATAAATTTATATAAAAAAATAGCAAACAATAGTTTATATTACCACGAATTATACTAGGTTAGGTTAGATTCGAGCTTTGATGTTTAGACTAAAATTAAACTGCGCATGTCAAACTGCGTCAAGTCTTTTATCGGCCCACACGATTTTTGTTTTTCACCTGGGATCGAAAAATGACGGTACCGAAACTGGTTTTTTGACAGTCATAAGTTTGGTTGGAATGCAAACGAAATGGTACGGTAAACGATCATCTCTCGGTCGGAACGCGTTTAACCAAGTGCGTTTGACCGTGACCGTACATTGAACGGTTTTCGTCGAAGTTGGAAAAAAGCTAATATCTACAAAAAAATCCATATTTTAAGGATGAATTAAGTAATAAATATTAGACTTCGAATATACATTTCTAATCGAGGGTAAATGAACAATGATCTTGATATTCCTGTACTCGTGGACGAACTTCGAACAGAGCTGGAGTACCTATTCTTGACATCATTCGCATCTTTGCGTATACACGGATAAAATTATTCTTTTGAAATCCGAGATTCAAGAATATGTAAATCTAACTCTGTGCACTTGGAACTTATTATTATCTTTGCTCTATTTAAAAGAAATTCTTTAAATGAAGTACATGTTACCTCTGTTAGAGCCATTCGTTACTTGAACCAAAATATCACAACATCGACATAAAGCGTGGTGCATCGGAACGCGGGACATAAGAAATCCCATGTAAATTTTGAAAAAGTAAAATATTACCTCCGCAGATAATTTTATACAAAAATTGTATTAGACTTTTTTAAAGAGGCGTTAAAGTAATACTGTCGTCTAGAATTTCGTTTTATTTGCAATAGGCATCTAAAAGTTATTTGCAAAAATCTACCTCCAAATTACTAAAAATTTATAATACAACCCAGATAAAGCTACAATTAAAATACCAGGAAAAAAATTATTTTGTCATTGTCAAATTTGATGTCACATTTTTATTTGTTTGTACAGGGTGTCCCATTTTGGTTGAAATCATACGGTATTAGTAAAGATTGGAGGATGCGGTTTGCACAAACCTGTTCCACTTTTTTATCAAACGGAAGATGCTGTCAACAAACTTTTCATAGCGCTCTTCGTTTCTGAACTACAGGGTCTTTTGGAAAATTTTGCATTTTGGGACACCCCCGTATCTCTGTTATTATGAAAGCTATCGAGAAGATGAAAACTGATTTATGAAGAACTTTTTACGTAGAATACAGTGGCGTAGTCTTTTTTACAAAAACAGTATTTTTGAAAATATGAACTAAAGTTATGTTTCTTCAAATGGAGCACCCTGTATATTTATAAATCGTATGATCCGCCTTGCTATAAGCTTCTCAAAAATATATAACACTCTATTATTATTTATTTATTTTCACTATTTACTGCAATATTTAAAATATATCATATTCTTATTAGTAGGCCGTGATATAAACTTGGATAGAAATCGGCCCACTGTAAACTTTTGACTTTAACTGTGTCTTTTAGAATCTATTTATCAGACCAAAAAAAATATGAGCTGTTTCAAAGACAATTTAACATGCTTTAATATGAGTATACATTTACCCAAAGTACTTATCGTTTATATGCGTAGCAACGGGTAAACAAATAAAAGGCATTTGTGTTGTGGTGACAATAAGAATAAAAAACTTATCAAATATTGCAATTACTACTTTACTGTTACTTTGTAATCGAAATTTGCACATTGATTGTTCTTTCATTATTTGATTTGTTGTGTCATTGTTTGATTAGTGTTTCAATTTAATGCATACATCACGAAAAAAAGCTGCCAAAGTAATTGCTTTAATTGAAAATCGACTTAAACAGAGAGCTGTAGCTCGGCAACTGCATATGATACGCGGAGCGGTTCGAAGAGTGTGTGAACTATATGAGGAGACTCGATCCTTTCGTAGGCGACCTGGAACTGGTGAAAAGAGATATACAACGGATCGTGATGATCGCTTTATTGTGTCGACAATATTAAGAAATCGGCATCTTAATGCTATTCAGGTGCAACAACAGCTCCGTAAAACACGAGGAGTGACTGTTAGTCAGAGGACAGTAAGACGAAGATTGAAGGAAAGTAACATGACCCCCAAAACACCCGCAATTGGTCCAAAACTTATCCCAGCTCATCGTCAAACACGCCTGCCTTTTGCACGGAACATCTGAATTGGCCACTAGAACAATGGAAATGTGTTTTATTCTCAGATGAGACCAGGATATGCCTCTATGCTAGTGACCGAAGAAGAAAAGTGTTCCAGAGGCTAGATGAGCGATTCGCAGAATGCTGCATTGAGGAGCGGATTGCTTATGGAGGTGGTTTCTGCATGATCAACATGTGGTACAATTTCTATGACTGCGCGAACCGACCCAACTTTTATCCGTTGCGACGACCGTCGGCACGGGAAAGGAGGTTTAACTGGTGCTAGGTATATTGAGGAGATTTTAGCATGTGGTACCTTACGTCAACTACATTGGAAGCGAATTCACTTTTATGCATGACAATGCGAGAGCACACACATCCAGAATCGTACACGATTACATTTCAGAAGTCGGTTTTCGGGTTATTGAATGGCCAGCATGCAGTCCAGACTTAAACACGATTGAACATTTATGGGATGAGCTAAAACGAAGGATTCGTACTAGACAAAGAGCCCCAACCTCTATCCCAGAGCTCATTGTTGCAGTATAAGAAGAGTGGCTTAACATACCTCAAGCAACAATATCAACTACTAATAAAAATGATCTTTTAATGAAAACTTTTAAATATTGCAGTAAATAGTGAAAATAAATATAGAGTGATATATATTTTTGAGAAACTTTCAAGTTTTCAAGGCAAGTCAGATCATATAATTTATAAATATACAGAGTGTGCCATTTAAGAGAACGTAACTTTAGTTCATATCTTTAAAATATTCTTTTTGTAAAATAACATACTATGCCACTGTATTCTACGTAAAAAGTTCTACAATAAACAGTTTTCACCATCTCGATACCTCCGACAATAACAGAGATACGGGGGGTGTCACAAATTGCAAAATTTTCAAAAAGACCCTGTAGCTCAGAAACGAAGAGGGCTACGAAAATGTTGTTTACAGCATCTTCCGTTAGACGAAAAATGGGAGAGGTTGGTGAAAACCGCATCCTTCCATCTTCACTAATAACGGAGATACCGTATGATTTCAACCAAAATGGGACACCCTGTACAAAAATTTATGTGGTTTGAAAAGGGTGGTTAACTTTTTTCCTAAATTGGAATGAGTTGAATTATATATGTATATGAAGTAAATAGTAATATAATAATTAACTAAATAATTAAGTAGATATAATAACAATTACCTTTTCCACATTTACGTGCAGGGTGTCGTAGAGATCCTTATCACGATCTTCATGGTTTTTCATACAAATCGCTTTCCGCGGGTTGACAGCACTTAGTAAAGACATATTTTCTGCACGTAACGAGCACTAAACAAACGAGAGTGCAAGAAAAAAAAGCAAAACAAAACACCACTAATTACCGAACGATTATATTGGCCACGGTTCGAGCTACGCGCCTAACCGAATTGTTTTACGGCATCCATTGACGACTAATCATCATTTATATGCGATAATACCGTGTTTGGAAAAATTATTAGTCACATGCTTTAGGGGATTCGGGGTATCTTTCACGTGCTTTTCAAGTACCACCACACCGCTATTGACGAACAATTTTAGGTGTTGAATTACTTTTTCCCTAGAGACTGATAAAATTTTTGTTTTTAATTTTGGGCAATTCAACATGTCTGGCAAAAAGGTTTTTAAACTACACTGTAAGCTAAAGTATAATATTGGAAATCCACCAATTGCAATATATAAAATAAACAAAAAGAAGGAATTCACGTAGCTTTACTATTAATTAACAAAAAAAAAATCAGTTAAACTGAATTATACATACAAACAAAATTCGACTCGAAATGTTTAAATTTTAAAAATAAACAACGACAGTATCTACAAGAAAGTTCCAAACTTTGAAAACGAATTAAGTAAATTTCCAATTGAGGGTGAATTAACAATGATTTTGATATTCATGTTCTCGTGTACGAACTTCGTTGAAATCATCAGAGCTACCTATTCTTGACATCATTCGCAACTTTGTGTATACGCTATACATGTATTGTTATATGGCTTTCTCGAAGATGCGAGTAACATTTGAAGATGCGAGTAGTCAAGAATAGGCATACCCAGGAGTATTTGTCGAGAATTGACGTTTCGAAAGGACACTAGTTTCCTCGTGGAAACTGAATGCAACCGTAATTCAAAAGAGATGATGTTTGATCGCACTGTTGATATACAGGGTGTCCCAGCAGAGATATAAACCACATAAAAAATACATTAATAAAAAGCGACTATCCACCATATTTTATTGACAAAACATTAAACGAAATACAAACTCCAAATCATAGACACAATGATAACAATACACAATATACACACAACCAAACAAAACAAAAAAAAAAAAAAAAAAAAAAAAAAAAAAAAAAAAACAATATAAACATACATCTTCAAAACACAAATACAGTTAGATCCATTTTATTCACATACTAAACCAATAACTATACAGAAACAACCAAACAAAAAACTGTAATATGACAACATTACCTGTGATACGAAAACCTATTTTTTACATTGTGAAACATCTAGCACCCTTAAATGGTTAGGAATTAAAAGAACATTAAAAGATTATTTAGAAAGGGAGATTTTCACAAATCTAAGATTTGCCAGCATTCATGTGACACAGGGCACAGAATAAAGTTTAATAACTCTAAATTATATGGGAAAGAAGCGATAGCCTCTTAAAAGAAAAATAAAAAAAAAAAAAAAAAAAAAAAACTATAAAAAATAATAGTATTGCTCATGCATCTGTAGATGTTAGATGTTAGTAATGTATGTATTGCAATCGCTTCTTTGATCTTAAAGAACATAACATACATAAACTAACATTACGTACTTTTAAATAATAATCAGAAAAGTTTGGGCGATTTTATGGTTTTACCTTATTAATAAATTGTTATCAGGTAGTTAATTGTTACATTTGAAGTTTAACTTAATATACATGTCATCTTTAACAAGAACCGTCAAACGATTTCTTGTAAGACGTATCTGTCTTTTTTAAAAAGTAACAGTGTTCTCCGAATAGGTTCAATTTAACATATTTTTTAAATAGTTTTTTCTTGGATCTTTATATATTCTCTTAGCCCCGCTGCTTTTTTGCTTCCGACGACGGGAAAGAGAAAAACTTTCCGGACATAAGCATTTTTTTTCTTTGTTAGGCAAATTTTTATTACTGTTAACACAACTTCTGTACACAGCAGCGTTTTGGTGGGTCCTTTAATGCAGAAGTCTTTACAAAAATAACTATTTTATTTTGTAATTTTTCTGCAGTGCAGTGGCGTAATACCCATAAAGGTTTTTGGATAGAATTGAATCCGCCACATAGGGTATAGACATTTTTTATCAATAATATTCTGTATGATTCGATAATAAAAAAACGCCCCGCTAAGTTGACTCGGAAATGATGCTGCTTTTTGAACCAAGCGTCACAATATATAATGGTCAGATCTATTGTTTTAGACCACTTGACGTTTAAAGTCATAGGTAACTGGTTTTAAATTTAAGAAAATATTACGCTTTACAACTAAATCAGGAAACCTACCAAAAAGAGCTTGAAAAGAGACTAAATAAAATAAAAAAAGGAACATTGTTTGTATTTAAAAAAGTAACTGAATGGGAAAACCCTTTTCACTTACGTGAATATATTAAAAAAAAGTTTTTTTTTTTTTTTATTATGAAAAAAATGATTTTTGAATAATCTTTTAATCGCATCAACTCTATGAACAGCTGGCGGCCATTATTAGATCGACATTTCAAACAATTTTTTTGAAATAGATAGCATTGTTAGACATGTTTTCTCTTTATGGTCCAGTGGCTGTGGCAATCACAAAATTTGACGTTTAGGCTATACACATATTATTTTGACAGCAGTTTTTTTCGTTTTTAAAAATTTTAATATTTTTTTTTCATCATAAAAAAAAACAAAAAAAAAAAAAAAAAATATTTAATATCAAACATTCATAAAATTCTCTACAGGAGAATTAAAGGGTCTGTAACAAAAAATGGGGGCACCCAATTAAAATAAGAAAACCAGGAAGACTTAAATATAATATAAAAAAAAAAAAACAATATTTGAAAATATTTTTTACATTGATAGATCTCGATGTGAAACTATTGATGTTGCAAAAAATCTCCGATACGATATTGTAGTTATCTAGAAACTTCCAATGCACAAAACAAAAAAAAAAAAAAAAAAAAAAAAAAAAAAAAAAAAAAATATCGTATTTTTTACTTTTATTTTGATCCAAATGAGACTGAGGTTGCCTATAGAAAACTTAACTGTAATTTGGATAGAAAATCATATTATTGAAAGTACATGAAAGTATCTTCAAAACACAATCCCAGTAAAGTGTTATGATTTTTATGAGTACCTTGTTTATATAGTGTATTGTTATGATTAACAAATTATGGTTTATGTATTATGTCAGATTGTATTATTCATAATGCATGGTTTTTATGACAGGCGATAGAATGTTACGGGAGATAAGATTGGGAGTGAGGCGTCCGCAGCAGTCAGTCGGTACCGTGCGCTCGCACGATATACGTGTTTGTGTCGTAATCCTAAAGTACTTAAAATGTAATAAAAGAAGTTATGAGCGGACGTAATCCGGTTTATTTGGAAATAGCAAGATCTTACTGATTACATCTCAAGATAGTGGTATATAACTACTAGAATACAAAAGGAGTTAAACAGTGCCAATTTTGTTGAATCCATAAGTTAAGTTGCTGGAGAAGGACATAAAGCCATAAACCAACAAGTCCAGCAGTGTTAGTGACCAATAAGAAGGATAATTTTACATAACAGAGAATATTTGGAAATTGGCTTATCCACTCCTACTTCAAAAATGGGAAAAAGGACAAAGCTGTTTACCGACTGTGCAAGGTGCAAACCTGCAAGTTATGTTTGCTAAAATAAGTCCTTTGATTGACCATGTTTACATAAACACTAAAGCAGTGACAGGGAAATATAGCTTCGAGAGGATACATTCGAATTAAAGATAAGTACCTTACCAACAGTCTCATAGTTACGAATATAATAATTTTTAGGTGCTTGTTTATGATTATATAAAGAGCGTTATTGAATAATATTCCACCAAAATTGAACCTTTGTAAAAGACATCCAAACTACACATAAAGGTGCTCAGATCAAATTATAATAGTTGATATCCACGATTATATGGGACACGCCTGTTCACTGCAACAACTAAAAAATGGTTTTCCACTAAAATTAAAACCAAGCATCTTTTGCTCCATATACACATACCCTTTCTGGCGGTCGCACCGCGAAAAATTTCGATGGATACAAGGCCATACATCAACCAATATTTTAATCTCATCAGTCCTAAATACTAATTCACACGCTTCACGTTATAAAGATGCATCTTGCTGTAACAAGGTACTTTTCCATTCTTCTAAGCACGTACGAATACACAACACAACTTAACAGCATACACAACCACCCTCACTTTCTATGAAGGCCGCCTTCGACAACTGCTCCTTCCTCTATTCTGTACT